GACACCGCGCGGCCCACAGGCCTGTTGGACGTCATGCCTCTTGTGGTTGCCAACATCTCCCCAGCTTCCCTGGTGGCTACCCCTCCCAGCAGGCCTCCCAGGGAGCCAGCACAAGCCCCTCCATCCCCACAGATAGGCCCACCCAGAGCTGGGGCAGAAGATCTTTATTTGGCATCAGGTGGGTGAGGGCAGGGAAGGCTCATGGCTGAAGAGTAGGTCCAGGCAGCCCAGGCTCCATGTCTGGCGGCAGGGCGGGCTCTGGAGGTGCAGACCCAGGGGCGCTGTGCTAGGAAGAGGAGCAGAGGCCAGGGATGCTGCAGGATAGAGGCCAGGGAGGCTGCAGGGTAGAGGTCAGGGATGCTGCAGGGTAGAGGCCAGGGAGGCTGCAGGGTAGAGGTCAGGGAGGCTGCAGGGTAGAGGCCAGGGAGGCTGCAGGTAGAGGCCAGGGAGGCTGCAGGGTAGAGGTCAGGGAGGCTGCAGGGTAGAGGTCAGAGAGGCTGCAGGGTGGGGCAGAGGCCAGGCCCAGAACTCCCTCCCCAGGCTCCACAGCCGCCACGTTGGCCATTGCTGGGCAGCCTCGGGGCTTCAGGGTGACCTCAGCTCCTCCAACACCTGGGCAGGCCTCTGAGCATCCTCAGTGGGTGGGGGGAGGGGGAGTGAACCAAGTGGGGACAGGTGCAGGGAGCAATGGGCCGAGCTGACACCTGAGGAGCCTGAGGATGGCCTCACTGTGGATGGGCTGAGGAGGACCATCACTCGGGCTGGCAGGCCCAGGGGCAGGTGAAAGAAAGGACTTCCCGAAAGTCCTGGGAATTGTGGGTGGGCAGACTCCGAGGTTCCGACCTCCTGCCTGGGCCGGGGGGTCTCCCTGCCTGTGTGGGATGGCAGGGGCCAGAGCAGGCGGACCCTCAAACCCTGGGAGCAAGGCCCACTCACCCTAGTGTTCGGGAACGCAGCTTCCTGCAGAGACCCAGAAAAACCCAGTGGTGAGAAGATGCCCTGGCCCAGGGCCCGACCCCGTCACAGCCCAAGCTCAGACCCTCCCACGACGAGGACCCTAAGCAGGAGCCCCTGTGAGGAGACTCGGGGCACACAGGGAATGCGGGGGACATGGGAGGACACGAGGGTCATGGGACACTGGAAGTCACAGAGAGATACACGGGGGCACACGGGGGACAGGGCACAGCCGTCCTCTCACCCATCTGCAGGGGCATGAAAATGTTCCCCTCCGAGAGTCCCTTGCGTTGCACAAGTTTCTTAAATTCTTCCAGGGCCTCCAGGTTGGTGTCAGGATTCCGACCTGCAGGTGAGGTGGCCAGGTGAGTGGAGGTGGGGACAGCGGCCCGGCCCTGCAGGCAGCAGATGCGGAAAGGAGACAGCCATGGCCCAGCACTGAGACGAGGGGAGGGGAGGCCCGAGAGTGAACCAGAGTTTGAGGGTGGGGCTGGGGACAGTCCATGGCCCAGTTTGAGGAGACGGCCATGGCCCAGCTGAAAGGTCCCCAGGAAGGGGGACAGTGGCGGGGACTCTTCCAAGCCACTGAACAACCCCAGGGGACCTGGGCAGCTCCCAAAGCCACCCTGTAGGGTCATAGCCCTCACCTGGAGGGAACTTGTGTCCCAGAGGGACTGGCTGCCCTCCTGCCCTGGAGGGTCCCTGCCCCATGAAGGGCTCTGTCAGGACACTACCTCCCCCGTAAGATGACACCCCTTACCCGACACCCTAAGAAGTGGCCCTTGGCAGGCTCATGTCACCAAGGGCCGTGTCTGTCCCTGCCTGGCCCACCCCATTCCCACTTCAGGAACTTGGACCAGCCACTGAGGGCAGCACTCAGGGCCTGGCACGTGAAAGCCAGTGCAGGCGGCTTCCCCTTTCCCCCATGCCAGGGCATGGTGATGCCAGTTCACTGGCTTCTGGAGGCAGAGACCATGGGGCAGGACACGCAGGCCCCAGCGGGCCCTCACCCATGAGCTCTCCCATGCGGAACAGACCCCCATGGCGCTGGTCTTTGCAGTAAAAGATGTAGTGTTCCCTCCCGGGCAGCTCCTGCAGGTATATGAGCTTCCTGCCCCCATCTGCAGATGACAGAGAAGGAGGGTCTTCAGTGCCCTCATCCCCAGAGAAAGCACTTGGGACCACATGAAGGAACACTCGGGAATGTTCCAGTGGTCACCCAGGTGCCTCGGACAGCCTGAGCTGGGCCTGGCTGCTCTGCACAGCGTGTACCCCGACACTGAGGCAGGAGCTTCCTCCAGGAAAGGCTCCAACCCAGGCAATGGAGCCACAGAGGCCAGAGCACGTCCAGGACTAGAGTTCCACCTTCCCAGCTCCAGCAGCCGCCCCTGCCCTACTCTTCCATCCCTAACCCTAATCCTCAGCTTCCCCATCCCTAACCCTTGGCCTCCCCATACCTCACCCTCAGCGTCCTTGATCCCTAACCCTTGTCTTCCTCAGTGTGTCAATGGCTAGGGCCTCCCAGAGGGAAGGTGTGATCTGGTCCATCTCCACTGTGGACAAGCCTGTCACACCTGGTGTCTGAGGTCAGGGCCACTAGACCCTGAGGAAGGAGAGGCCAGCCAGTCCTCATAGGTGGGCAGAGCTGGGACCCTGGTAGAAGGGTACCCGGGTGCTCTCCGCCTGCAGTGGGGCTAGGGGAGGCTCACAGGTGCTGAATTTGCCAGGCTCCTCCGTTTTCCGCATAAGGATTTTCTTCTGGAAGCACCGATCATTCCTCCTGGGAAACAGGAGACACGAGGATAGCGGCTCCCAGGACACACCTGGGCCATCCTCAGCTCACCTGGTGCATGGTCCTGACCCAGTGACCTGAAAATTCCACTGCCCCCTCCCGCACCCCCCACCAAGCTTTAGGATACCCAGGCTGTTTCCCTCCAAGGCAGGGAGTGATTCTTATCAACACCCGAAACATGGATGGGGGATGGGCACCAGGTGCGTCTGGGGAGGGGAGAGAAACAGCCTGAGGGGCCCACAGTGGGTGACACTCACATGAAGGTGAATGTGGCTTCCAAGTCCCCATGGTCCAGGGCTGTCACCGTCACTGGGGACACCTTCCTGGGCCTCTTCTCCTCTGGAAGGTCCTTATCGGTCACCACGGCCTTCACATACCAGGTCCCTGTGATCTGGAGCAGGCCGAGGCCGTGAGCCCACCATGGGCTGGCCCAGAGTCTACTGTGACCACGGCACTCAGGCCTGCAGCTATAATCAGACACCAATGCTGTATGGCTACCACCCCTAGAGGCTGGCTGGGTTCCTGCACCGTAGTTAGAGCTCAGTTAGATTTGGTTAGAGCCAGCCACTCCCTCCCCACCCCCCAAGGACTCCCAGCTTCTGGTGGAGGGAAAGCGTGTCTGCACCCCATGGACCCCGGGCTCCAACACCAACTGAGCCCTCCCTCCCAAGGGCCCAACCCCGAGAGACCTTCAGGGATCAGGTGTCAGTGCAGTAGGACTTCCTGAGCTGAGCCTGCTCTGGCTCTGGGTCCCAGGAGGGGCTGTCTGCTGGAGGAACAACAGGACCCCTCCCCTTGACCCCAGGCTGGGAGCACGGGGTCAGAATCCAGCCTTGATTGATATGTCCTAAAGCAGGACCCCTGGCGCTGCCCCCCGCCCAGGAGTTGGCCTGGCTCCTCCACCTGCCCACACCAGCCCAGCTCACATCCTCCTCCTTCAGGGCAAAGGACAGGGCAGCGGCCAGACCAAGGGTGACACCCAGGAGCAGGGTCTTCATCTCCAGAGTTCTATGCTCACGACGTTGGAGGGCCACCGGGAGTCTGAACAAGTCTGTGCTGGCTTCTCTCAAGGTGTTCTTTATAGTCCCCTAGCCAGTGTCCTGGGAGCACGTGGCACGGGTCACCCCTCCCCACGGTGGCAGCCAGTCCCGAATCAGGGAGGGGGAGTGTCATCATTGCTGGCATCTGGTGAGCAGCAATTCAGTGCCAGCCAGAGAAGAAAAGACACATGATGTGCCCAGGGTTTGCACCACCCGAACACTGCCCACTCAGACCAGCCCAGAGGACTCGCCAGGATGGGGCAGATTGGTATGCGTCAGCACCCCGAGCCACAGAGGGAGAACCCAAGGCCTTGGGACGTCCCTCACCCACCCCTGAGCCCTCCCAGTGCTGCAGCTGGGACCCTGGGCAAGTTCTCTGGGGAACTGGGCATCTCCCCAGCTGAGGAGAAAGGGACTGGGCTTTAGAACCACAGAGACCTGGGGCTGCTGCCTGCTGAGTCCCGCACTGCCCTAGAGCCCAAGTTTCCAGCCCGCTCTGGGACCCATGCTACGGTGATCTTCCCTACCCTGGACCCTGCACTAGAGCTTCCTAGGGGCAAGAGGAGAGCACCACTGTGTGGCTCAGGGTCAGTTTGCACACGGCCTCCTCGGGCCATACGAGGGACCATGACGCCTCCCCGGCCCCACTTCACTCTGTACCTGAGCCAGGCCGCGCTGTCCTCAGAGCACGCAATCTCTCTGGATGGTTCTGTCCATTTCTTCCTGCACGCGTTCATCAGCCATCTCCCTGTTAGAATTTACCTGCCACCTCTCATCAGCTTGACAGCCCCAGCCCGCAAGACAGGCCTTGAATCTCATCCCTTTAGATAAATGAGTGGCATGAGGCACCAAGAGCCACCTGCCAGCCTGTGCTCAGCATTTGTGAGTGCTGAGCTCCCTTGGGCACCTGGCTCCACTGGCCTCATCCCCAGACAACCTGAGCAAGAACTGTGCCTTCTTCTCCTGGACCCGGTAGTTCCTGGGCCTGTGTCATCTGCCCTGGGACCCACGGCTAAGCCTCGCTCTGCAGGCAAGTGCTGGGCCCGCATGCTGGCATCTGTGTGCCTCAGTGGTGCAAGATCAGATGCCCTTGAGTACTTGCTAAATAACACTAATCTACACTCTAATACCCCGGGAGGCTGTAACGAGGGGCTGGCGTCACCCAGTCCCTCACCCCTCCCACAGCAAGTGCTGCTGAGCAGAAACTGCCCCCTCATGCGCTCCCATGCCCCCGGGCAGGAAAGGGTGGGGCCTGGGCTCTTCAGGACCAGAGACCAGGCAGACAGGCTGGAGTCTCTACATCAGCAGGAAGATGTGTCTGTTTCCTGTTTTTGTTGACGGTATCCCAGGCACCTTGTATTTCACTGGTTGTTTGTGAATCACCTAAGCACCTTACGACACTGGCGCTGCTGGCTCAATCCTTGAAGAAAATGCTGGAACAACATGCACAGATGCTTCAGAGAACGGGGCTCCCCGACGGGTTCCACGCTCAGTGCGACAGCTGCTCCCCAGGAATCCTCCCATCGTCCACCCATCTCACCCTGTGTCCCAGTCTCGTCTGCCAACTGTGTTCTTTTAGATTCCGGTTGGGTTCCAGCGGTGCAGATGCCGTCAGGAGATGGTAGGGTTGGAGGCTGGGGGTCAGCCCTGGCAGGATGGGAGGGGCGCGATCCCTGGTCCCCAGTGCTTTGTGGCCTGGTGTGTTTCTCTGGATGGCCGTGTTCCTTCTGACGGTGATGCCTGTTGGGCTGTTAAAGGTATTTAACAAAATTCAACACCAATTCAGGATAACAACGCTCAAAAAATAGGAACGGAAGAGAACTTCCTTAACTTGACAAAGAACATCTACAAAAAACCCGTGGCTAACATGGTTCCTAACGGTGAAAGACTGATGTGTAACTGGCTCAAGACCAGCTGCTCCCTGCTCAGAAGTCAAAGCATGAGCAGTGAGGTGCGGTGGAAGGAAAGCAGCTTTATTCAAATGCTAGCAGTGGAGGAATGGCCAGGCCCATGCCGTTAAAAGTCCATTCCAGCTTTTTGGGCTGAGTGAAGGGTTCAAGGAGGAAGAGGTTTGGGGAGTAGGCGGGAGCCGGGCAGGGGCTGTCCACCTGCATCCTGTTCTGATGGTCCTGAGTCATCTCTCGCCTGTCCCCAGGTCTGCTTGGCGTCATCCTGACTTCAGCCTGGAAGGTGGGCTACCTGTAACTCCTCCAAGTGGGAGGATTCTACAGCTGGGTCTCTGCCTGGTTTGTTTCAAAATTGGCCCCTGGAATTTCTAAGTAAGCACAGAATTAGATAAGCAGCACTGCTTAGGGAAGTGCCTGGTGGGAAAGAGAGAAACAAAGTATGTTTCAAGGCTGAAAGCAAGAAAGGAAAAAAAGTTTTAAAGGACATTTTGAGGCTGGGATACTCAGTTACAAACACTTTCTCCTTAATACCAGGGACAAGGCAAGGATGTCCACTCTCACCACTTGTGTTTAACATAGTACAGAAAGTTCTAGTCAGGGCAATAATGGTTTCTTAACAAGGAAATAAAAGACATACAAATTGGAAGGGAAGGAAAAAACTGCATCTGCAGATGACATGATTGTCTCTGTGGAAAATCCCAAGAAATTGAAAAACAAAACAAAACAGTTGTCTTAGAACTAATAAGCAAGTGCAACAAGGTTGCAGGACACAAGATAAATATACAAAGATCAATTGTGTGTCTGCATACAACTAATGGACCCTAACCCTAAAAACACAATATTATCTATGATGGCTAAAAAAATGAGATGTCTAGGCGTAAGCCTAACAACCCGTATGCCGGATCTGTATGCTGAAAACAATGCGATTATAAAGTAAATCAAAGAAGCCTGAACAAGCTCTATCCATGGATTAGGAGACTCAACACAGTAAAAATGTCATTTCTCTCAAATAATACAAAGATTTAACACAATTTCTATCAAAATTCCAGAAGGAATTTTGGTAGCTATAGACAAGAGTATTCTAAAATTTATATGGAAAGGCAATGGAACTAGAATAACTAAAACATTTTTTTAAAGAATAAAATGGGAAGAATCAGGCTACCCTTTCTTTCTGCTTTTTCTTCTTCTTCTTCTTCTTCTTTTTTTTTTTTTGGCGACAGAGTCTGGAGGCTGGCGTGCAGCGGCACGATCTTGACTCATTACAACCTCCACCTCCCGTTTCAAGCAATTCTCTTGCCTCTGCCTCCTGATAGCTGGGGTTATAGGTACTCACCACCACACCCAGCTACAGGCTGTTCTTTCAAGACTTATTATATTGCTAGCATATAGACAAATGCCTAGATTAATGAGGCAGACAATAAGAATCCTGAAACAGACCTGCACAAATACAACCAATTATGTTTTTACAAAGATGCAAAAGCAATTCAATGGAGGAAAGATAGATTTTGTAGCAAATGGGCTGGAGCAACTGGACATCCACAGACAAAACCACCAAACAAAAAGAAGAACCACAAGCTAGGTCTCACACCCTTTATGAAAATTAACTCAAAATGGATCATAGACGTAAAACTTAAAACTTTTAGAAAACATAAAGAAAATCTTTGGGATATGGAGCTGGGTCAGGAGGTTCTAGATTTGCCCCAAAAATATGATCTATAAAAGGAAAATTTTTTTAATAGACTTCATCAAAATAAAAAACTTTTGCTCTGTAAGAGACCCTGTGAAGAGAATAAAAAGACAAGCTAAAAAGACTGAAAGAAAACATTTACAAATTAATTTACAAACTATTCAACAAAGAATTCGTTTCTATACTTTATAAAGAATTTTTCAAAACTCCACAGTTTCAAAACTAGAATGTAAACAAAAGACCCGAAGGTGCCCTTGACTGGAGAGAATATACAGATGGCGAAGAAACACGTGGAAAGGTGTTCACCGTCATTAGTCATCAGCGAAACGCAGGTAAAGGCCGTGATATATCAGCACACACCCATCAAGGTGGCTGAGATAAGATCACAGCGATCGCACTGAAGCCTGGTGAGGATGCACGACAACAGGACGGCTTCTGGAAAATGGCTTGACATGTGCTTGCTTCGGCAGCACATATACTAAGCTTGGAAAATGGCTTGACATGCACTTGCTTCGGCAGCACATATACTAAACTTGGAAAATGGCTTGACATGCGCTCCCTTCGGCAGCACATATACTAAACTTGGAAAATGCCTTGACAGGTTTAAAAAAAACCACTAAACCTGCAACAAGCATAGAGCCCCGCATAGCACCCCTGGGCCTTAGTCCCAGAGGAATGAAAAGTGATGTACGTGGGAAAACCTGCACGTGTCATAACCCAGATCTACACACACAGATGTCCTCCAGCAGGTGAAGACTGCGTTACACCCACAGCACTGCACGCTCCTCAGAAGTAAAACGGAATAAACTGCTGACAAATGCAACAATGGGATGACTCTCCAGAGAATGATGCTGCATGGGAAAACAGCCAATCCCACCATTCTGTGATTGCAGTAGACTGCGTTCTTGAAATGAGCAGATTATGGTAGTGGACAGGTCTGTCATTGCTGGGGTTGAGGCTGGGGCAAGCCAGGTAGAGATACACATGACCACTCTGTGCAGCTTCTTACAGCTCCATGGGAATCTACGAAAGATTAGAAGTTAATTTAAAAACCAAAATGAACATAAATGCTTTATTATTATTATTATTATTTGAGACAAAGTCTTGCTCTGTCGCCCAGGCTGGAATGCAGTGGTGCAATTTCAGCTCACCACAACCTCCACCTCCTGGGTTAAAGGGATTCTCATGCCTCAGCCTTCCGAGTAGCTGGGATTACAGGCAAATGCCACCACACTCAGCTAATTTTTAAAAATATTTTTAGTAGAGACGGGATTTTGCCATGTTGGCCAGGCTGCTCTCAAACTTCTAAACCTCAGGTGATCCACCCACCTCAGCCTCCCAAAGTGCTAGGAGTACAGGTGTGAGCCACCACGCCTGGCCATACATTTTTTTTTTTTTAAACACCTGGAGCCAAAGTCTCAGCAGCTCCACTCAGAAGCAGCATTTCAACAGCTACACTCCCACTGTGACCCAGTAGACGTGTTCAGTCGTCACTTACAGACCTTGGAAATGCCTCAGGTATCCATCAGAATAACAATGACTGAATAAAGTTCATTTTATGTTTGATCTTTGCACACTTTCGATATGTCGCTCATTCTTTGGGGCACAAGGATTACATCCATGGATAAAACAGACAAATGTCCTGCTCTCATGAGGCTGACATACTAGGTGCAGGGGACATAAAATGAACAAAATAAATAAATGAATTGTGGTGCCAGCTGTCAATGTCTCGCCTCCAGCTCCACCTCTACCCTCCATGGCCAGTTCCGAGGCAATGGAGCTGGTGCCAGCAGGCACTTCTCCTGTGCGCCTGGCGTGATGCTAAGTTTTGGTGGTAGAGGTGTAGGGGAAGTGCCTCCCAGTCTGGTCAGGATGCCTGGTTCCAGGATGCTTCCATTTCTTTCTTTTTCTTTCCCGTACTGTACAAATGGCATGGCACAAGTCAGGGACAGTCTGGGGGCCCTCACCACATTGAATTCAGGGGACCCCTCCCCGGATGGCTTCCTATTGAGATTCAGTGGCACCCACATGTGTGGGTTCCCAGTGACTCTTGTAGGCTTCCCAGCCCAGCTTACCTGCCTCTGGGAGGGAAGAGAGGCTTCCTGCCTGCCAGGCTCAGCCTGCATTTCCCTACCTGCTGGCCTCTGCCCTGACCACTGGACCAGCTCTGGCCGGGGCAACCCAGCAAGCTTCTCCAGCATCCCTCGGCCGCATGGGGATCTGAAGGCAGCTTCTGATCCACACGATCTGAACCCAGCCTGTGGAAAGGCCCCCACCCACTTCCTTAGCTGCTCTCCTGCAATCCTGAGCCATTCTTTGTAGTTGTCTTTAAACCTCTATAGCTGACTGTTCACTGTGTAAGCAATCCCTTTCGATCTGTCATCTCTGGATCCTGATGGGTCACTGGTTCATATAATTACATATTATTTCAAACGATGCTCATGCTCTGGAAAAAGCAAAGTGGACAAGTTGGCAGGGAGTGTCAGGACAAGGGGTTATTTGTCCTTTCAATGAAAAGATGAGGAACAGCCTCGCCAAGGTGGCATTCAAACACCAAATTTAAGACATGAGGGAAGCAAGCCATGAGCTTGTCAGCTGGAAGAGGCATCCAGGTGGCAGGAGCATCCAGTGCCGGCCTGGCGGTGGGAGGACGCTGGCAGTTCCCAGGAACACACTGCAGAGCAGCCGCAGCAAATGATCCAGGGACACTGGCCACACATGAGGCTGGGGAGAGGGCAGAACCGCCACATAGGGCTTGAGGACCACCATGAGGACTTCAGCTTCTGCTCTGAGTGAAAGACTCTGGAGAGCTCTGACAAAGGCAAGCTGTGACTTACGTATTTAAGGGGTCACTCCAGTTGCTGCACTGAGAACGATTTCGGGAGCAAATATAGAAGCAGAGAAACCAGTTAGGAAGATGTGCCAATCACTCAGGATGGTGCATTCATTTCTACCCGGGACTCCAAGAGAACAGGGTATGGACTTCACTGTCCCACCACAAACAGAGGGAAACTGGCCCAAGTGTGAAACGCTTGTGTTTAGACACGGGACACAGACAGCACAGGCTGTGATCCCTGAGATGGGGAGCTAACGAGCTCAGCTGGATCATGGCAGCTTTAAGCCTGGAGGAAATTTCAACCCACTGCAGAGAGGGGAACCTGACAGAGCAAGGGGTCACATGGTGTGGACGGGACACAGATTGGACTCTGGGCATCGCAGATGACTAGAATGTGGGAGACAAGGAAGCAGACAGGAGGGCACCCCACAGAGGAAGAGCTCTGGAAACCTGCAGGGGGTCCTCAAGACCACAGCTGAATACTGGTCCACGCAGGAAGAGGGCGGAACTCCGCAGGGACAGAGAAAAGAATGTTTGAGTAAAGAAGGATTCCAAGGAACTGAAGAAAATCAACACCCACAAACACAGGTGCAAGAATGAGCTGAGACACCAAACAATGGGGAAAGAAGGGTCTTCAACAAATGGCTTTGGGACATTGGATGTCCACATGCAAAGAATAAAGTGGGATCCTCACGCCACACACAAGGTTTTACCCAAAATGGATCAAATTGCTAAATGCGCGAGCTAAAACTGTGCAACTCTTAGAAGATGTGCAAATCTCTGTGACCTTGGCTTTGACAATGAATTCTTCTCTACACACCCAAAGAGCATGCAACCAAAGGAACAGGCAAATTGAGCTTCATCAAAGTTAAAAACTTTGGTACCTCAATGGACACTATCAAGGAAATGAAAAGACAAGATCTAGAACGTGAGAAAAGACTCGCAAATCACGTATCTGATGAGAGTCTGGTATTAAAGTATATGAAATATACTCATAACTCAACACAAAAACGCAAATAACCCAATTTTAAAAAGGGAGATGACTTGAATAGACTTTCTTCAGGGAAGATATGAAAATGGCCGATAAGCACATGAAAATATGCTCAATGTCCCTAGTCATTAGGGAAGTGCAAATCAAAACTACAGTGAAATAGCACTTCCTGCTCATTAGGATGGCTAGAATCGCAAGGCCAGATAATAACAAGGGGTGGCCAGGACGCAGAGCAGCTGGAA